AATTAGGTTCAGATGAGGATAAATTTAATTTCATGTTTGAGCAGCGTCAAGCTTATTGTGGTATTTGTTGTTAATATAGGCATAAGATGTTCTTCCCAAAAGTTATGTATTCTTGAAGGACATTAAATATTTATTACTTAAACACCGAGTACTTCGTACTCTTCTTTCACTGCTACCCAGTAGGCTTAAGGCTTCCATAACATTTTCTTTTTTCACGAACTTCTATAACTTTTTTTCATTTAAAGCCCGTATCTTTAGTGTTTTTTAGAGTTATGGCAACCTGTGGTGAGCGTACCCCAACATCTGAGTGGTTTTAGGCGTGATCTTAAAATTCTGCTGGGATATGAAGTCTGCCTATTCCTTCAGTATCTGTAATATGTCTTTGTTTGGCCGCTTTCTGTGCCCATCTATCTTAAGTTCCCTATCAAATTATTTCAACCAACGGGGATGCTCTCACCTTGATTTCCTTGCATACTTCCACAATACGACACGTTTTGTGTTTAGTGAAGAGAACCGAGTAAGCATTTTGGACCTTTTCTCTACGACCTGTTGCGTCCAAAATATGACACAGGTCTGCAGGTCTCTCATAATTCTGGTGGCAAGACCATACACTAAATCTCATTTATCTATCTTGTTGCTTTTTTAAGTAATAGCGTTCACATACAGACGGATAGACTGACTGACAGAGTTTGATAGATATATAATTACAGTCATGAAATCGTATACCAACATTAATCCGTCAAGTTTTCTGCGTTTTTTTTGTTATTCTGTGAGAATGTCACAGACGGACGTACAAACAAATTTCCCGTTCACCGATTTAGAAAAGCCGCTGTGGCCTAGTGGTAAGGTCTCGGCTTTGGGGCCGGAAGGCTCTAGGCTCGAAACCCGATTCCACTGAAAATCCGACGTGTATTGAACCTGTTGCACGCCAAATACTGTGTAGGGGGGCAAACGTCCCCCGGTTGGTATGGTTTGGAGAGGGGGTGTCAGTTCACGTGTCGTCCTGTTCCGAGGTTCAAAATTGCGAGGTCCGTCCCAAAATAGCCCTCGCGTTGCTTCAAAATCAGACGTTAATATAACTAAGCTAAACTAAAACCGATTTAGAGCAATAATTGATAGTCTTCTATAATTTTTTTTTGTGAAGACCATGTACTAAATTTCATTCTTATAGGTCTTTAGATTTTTGAGGGAGACAGGTAGACAGAATTCAAAAAATGGTTTTTCCGTCTCGGGGATGCCTTGAACATGGAAATCTGTTAATCGAATATTTTAACAGTTCAGTAAAACTTCGATTAACCGTCAATCGCTTAAGCGTCAGTTTCTGTTATGCGTCGTCGTCTAAAACATATCAATAAACAAACAGACATCTTTAAAATTGTCCGCGAAATACTTTTACACTCCGCTGTATAAAACTGGAAGTGACTAATCTTCGGTGGCGAAGGTGAGGATATAGATGTGGCGAGCCAAATCCGTCACTAACAGTCGCTATTGTATTACAATACATTTATGTACATTACTACTTTGATTTAACTTTTTATTGAAGTTTGTCTTGATCGATTTGTAAAGTGAAATACAATATGCATGTATTATTCACTTTTAAATGATATACACATCTATTACTATATTTCTGGTTTTTGTCTCTTCAATTATCCGTCACAGCCCTGGTCCGGCTGGTGACGGTTAATCGAAGTTTTACTGCATTTGAATGATTTACAATACTTTTTCTACGTATACTTTGTATTCGACAAAGTTCAAAAAGGAGGGTAAATAAATGAATCTTTATCAGTAAAACACCAAGGATCAAACCAGGCGTGCCTTGAGGAACGAAAATGCCAACATGATCTATGTTTCTGACAGCAGGCACGGGCCATCCGGTAACAGGAAACAGCATGTGGTTGAAAGGAGGGCTCACCGTTCCATCGCCAGCGTTTCCGTAAACTAAAGAAGGGTTTTACATTTCCATCTGCCATCTTTTGTCGTTGTGCTTTTTTTTCATCAAATATTATACATATTTGGAGGATTATCCCACCTGTTGTTGCAACCAGGAAGATGGAAATTATAAGTAAGTACGTGACAAGATTTCTCTATGCATTTATCCGTTTGGCAATCAGTTTTATTATTTTTGTTCACCTATCTTTTGGTCTAAAAGAGCGTAAATCCTGGGTGGGCTACGAAGTCGAATTTCGAAAAAGGGGTTCTTCCTTTTGTTGTGTCTGGAGAACAATAGACTGGCCTTTACCTTTATGAAAGCTTCTGTAGGGTTTGAAATGAGAAGCTTCCTTTGCGCCGTGCTCTTAAGGCGTCGTGCCTTTTCGAACGTAACGCGTATTCTTTGGTTGCCGCGCAAGATCAGTGGTTCCAGTTTTATGGCGGATAGTCACATATTTTGGAACATTTTCATAGGTGAAATAAATTTAGTCTTATCATTCCTATATTCTTTTAAAATTTTGAAGCAAAACCAGAAAGAAAACCAATCTCTACGAAACTCGTCGCCATTTTGCAACAATTTTTCGGTCTCTTTAAATATTCATGTGGAAATACAGAAAATGCTTTGAAAAGACTGTCTTGTATTTCAAAGGGATTCCTAATATAACATTAAGAATATTATTGAATCATCAAACAAAGCATTGGTGCACAAGATCAGTGGTTCTATTTTTATGGTGAATAACAACATATATATTTAGTTCATGAATGACAACAAAAAAATTTGGTTTGTGATTTTGATACGAAATTTGTGCACTATTTGTGCCACATTTTGGATCCAGTAGCTCATGGTAAGAGGTACAAAATGCGTACTAGATTCTCTTCACTATGCTACGAAGCTAAACACAAAAGTGCCTTTTTGTGGAAGTATAAAAGAAAGTCGAGGGGAGAACAATGTGGATAATTTTATTTGTGCTTTGTATGTAAGACAGAAGTTCACATACATTCTATTCTTTCAGTTGGTAAAAGCACATATATTTTTGTGTAAAATTATATTTGATGCCTTGTAATATTAAGGTTAATCGAAGACTTCCTTAACATTACAATTACTTTATATCATTATTTCTCAATTTTGTGTATGTCTGCAGTTTAGGCGTATCTATCACAGTTCTAAATGGATTTAAAAGGGATACACTATTGGGTAAAATTTACAGAAATATTGCTATTCTAAAACAAATAAATACAGCACTTTCAGATTATAAAACTGCCTTGAATTTTTGAAAAATGCGAGCATTTCTATTAATTTATTCCAAACATTTCCCTTCAAGAATGGATTAAAACCATATGAAAAACTACACAGCATTTTTTATTCGATACAAGGTCTGCAGACGATATTGGATATTCTCCCAGACTCTTTATTTTTGGCCTCATTTCAACTCTGAGCCTTACGATCACCTGAGACGAATCTCAAGTAGCCATTAGTTGTTGGTGCATTTCTTTCTCTTACTATGTCCATGTTGCTGTCATCGAGGCTATATTTGGTGCGGCATGTTTCATAATGACTGTTCGTATATCGCTTGTGTAAGTAAGATTAGTGTTGCAAAATGAAGCCTCCAGTTTCATTCCAGGAACTTCGAGTTAGTAAGCATTACAAACTTTTATAATATTTGCAATATTTGAACAATCCTACTACATTCTCTTCACTATGCAGAGTGTCTCTGAACTCATGGCCCAAACTTTAAGGGATTGTAAAATACACATAAAAAAGCATTTTTTTGTATCGCAGTGTGGGGGCGGAAATGAAAAGTTTAGGCGGGAAAACAACAAATAAAAAGAAGTGTTTATTTACATGTTTGTGTGTAAGTCTAAATGATTTCCTTATTGGCCCATACCTGCAAGCATATTGACTCAACGGCACGATGCAACGCATCTTTCTGGAAGAGGTATTACCAGAATTACTTGATATTGTTCTCGCTGCCATTCGAAATGCCATGTGGTTTCAACACGACTGGGCTCCATGTATCGTCCTCAATGGAATGGAACGAGATGGACCAGTCGCTTGGCCAGCATGTTCACCCTATTTATCAAGTACCAATTTTTCTTACGAGGACATTTAAAGACACTCATCTGCGAAACTCCAGTTGACTCTGATGAGGATCACATTGCAAAACTTTAAGTCGCTGTCGTGAAATACTCGGCATCTTCCAAAGGGTACGCCAGTCACTTGCGAGACACTTCTAGGACTGTATAGACGTTGGTGGTGGCATATTTTAGCACTTACTGCAACTGTTATGTAAATAAAAAGCTTTTTCTCCATTTCCTCAGCACTTCTTGTTTTCCACCTATACTTTTCATTTTCGACCCCGCATTGCTATGCAAAAAATGCTTCTATATGTGTATTCTGCTTTCCCTTAAAGTTCGGCCCATGAGTTCAGGGACACCCTGTATCGTGGAGTTACATACAAAACAAGCTGCGTTGTGTAAAGCCTTGTTCCCACGTTTAGTGGCATGGTTCGAGGAGTTGAGAATTTATTGTCGTTCAGAATCCGACCAGTCGCACCGTACCTACGACGCATACACAATCTACAATAGTCCTAAGAACTGTGCTGAGGTCTCCGTCCGTCGACTTGCTGGTCTTTGATGTCCGAGCATTTACCCGATCAGGAATGTCATTAAAGTCTGGCGACGGGGGGGGGGGGCACAGTCTGGCCAAGTGGGGGGGGGGGCGAAGGGGGGGAGGGGTGCAATGATGTGCCTCTCAAATTTTCGGCAGATCTTTATTTATCTAAAAGTTGAATAGCCCTTTGAGAGAACGGGGTACAAAAATTTGCCCAGACGGGGGAGGGGCGGCACAGCATACCCGACAAGGGGGCCTGGCCTCCCGCTCCTCCCCACTTGCGCCACCCCAGCACCCGACATCTCACCGGAACGGTCGAGCCACCCCAACTACCTCGAACAAAACGAATCTTTGTTTTCCCGTGAAGGTAGATAAGGTGTACTTCAGACAACGAACATCTAATCACTGACCATGGGAAGAGGCCTTGACAAGAGCGTTTTTCTGGAGTTTCTTGTTGTCAGGGTGTATAGCTCAGTGGTTGAGCATTCGACTGCCGATCGAGAAGTCACCGGCTCAAACCAGGGTTAACCTAATTCTTTGCATCGGTGGTTCAATGGAGTTTTTTGTTAGGCGAGATTTTCTTTTAACTACTCTTTCCCGATGTTGATATTCTTTGTCGTATTATTTTGTTTTAATTCGAAAGTTTTGAAATGTTTCTAAATATTTCTTAATAAAAAAATAAACATATCCTGTAACTTTCATATAATCGTCGTTCAAGGGGAAGTCACTAAGTACAGAAAAAGCTATTTGACAAGTTACTGCATCCAACTAATTATTTCGTGTTATTTAAATGTCAGTAAACCAAGTGTAGGAGTTAAAAAGCTGTAAAATAATTTTTACTATTTTTCATAAAGACTCCAAATTAATTATGTTTAAATCGAAAATATAGTTTTTTGAACTCAGTGACTTTTGCTTGAAAGACGTCGATATCACCCCTATTTTGGTGAAACCAAAGACTACTTGCGCATGCGCAAAAGCGCGGGTATTTCCGTACCTGATAACAGACCGTAACCGCGTAATTCAGTTAGTGACATCACCGCATACTTTCATTATTTACACCCATAGACAGTTAGATTAACTTTCTTACGATACAGCGCGCTACACAGAAAAACTATTTTGCCTTCTGAGCGTTTCTTTCTTTTACCACTCAACTTCTCTCCCAGGCCGAAAACACAACAGCCTTGCTCTAGCGCATCCGACGAACTAGGTTAATAGAGTCCCTGACACCGAAGGGGCTTAACCTTCTATTTTTGCGAAAAATTGCTGCTGCCCCCACATATATATCTATTTTCGTACGTTCACCGCTACATTTAAAGTTTTCCTTCTTTAATTGAAATATCGTCGCCTGACAAACAACACCACCTATCTCAGTTTTTCAAAGAGGAAGAAAAAGTCTGAATTTTTCGCAAACAATAACGGATATTTCTGAATTTTTTCACTTCTAGTAGGAAAATGCAGTCTCATGTTCCTACCAGATGTGAAAAAATATTCAATAATATTTGTTATTGGTTGCGAAAAATTGAGTATTCTCTTTCTCTTTGAAATTTAAAAAAAATAAGATAGATGCTGTTTGCTACTTCCGAAAAAGAAGTCACGACAATTATTAATTCCCCGAATAGTTAAAAGTAAACAAAGAGAAATTATTTGCATCCATTTTATATATTTTTTTACTTTCTCGTATACGAAGATTAAAAAAAGTAATTAATATATTCGTCAACAAATTCAACTTTTGAGATCTCCACGTTTTAGACCTCTTTGAAAAAAAAAAAAAATCATTTTTTTGATTTATGCCTGTCTGTGAACACGACAGCTCAAAAAAACGGAATAAGTTTGACGAACGAAATTTTGGATGCAGTTTTCACAACAAATTGTAGAAATGTAAAGTAAGCCATTCACCGCTCTTCCAAAATAGAATTTTTTGGAACACGGGAAGAGAAAACCTATCGTCGAGGTCGAAAACCTATGAAATTCGGAGCGAATGATGAAAGGTGGTGGAATTCAAAAGAATTTAAAATACAAAACTCAATCCGCCGATTCCAATTTGAGACCTCGATGCGAGGGTAGCGGGAAATCAAAGGAACTGCCGACATTGGGACCTCGCGTCGAAGCTAGAAATGAAATTCGAAATCTCCCGTTGGGGAGGGGTGAAGAGGATGGGTAGATAGAATTCTGCGACTTTGAGCCTTGTCTCAAAACAAACTTTGGAACATACGTGAATGCTTTGCCTTATTTTTCGATGAAAATGGGTGGGAAAAAACCAGTCTTAGGACAAATAGCATAGATAGCCTTCTCGTGAACGCCCAGATCCAAATTTTGCACGAAATTTATTAACGGAAAGGCTGTTTGCCCGTCCGTGTCCATGTGAATACGATAATGCAAAAACACAACGGGCAACATGAATGTAATTTGGTGCACAGTTTTGTCACCCGAATTGTAGATCCGTATCAGATTTTGGGCCACATCCAGAGGTGTAGTGGAGGCGGAACGCCTTCCGGCACTGCTTTTTTACTTTCTCGTATACGAAGTAAACAAAGAGAAAATATTGCAATCGTCAAAAAGTTCTAACTCGAGATATTGACGAATCTCCACGTTTTAGACCCCCCTCCCCTAGTCCGAAAAACACAATTTCGGAATTATGTCTGTCCGTGTGTCTGTCTGTGAACACTATAACTCAAAAACTATTAGAGATACGGGGATGAAATTTGGTATGTGGTTTTTACACATAATTTGTAGGTTTCTATAACGTTTTGGACAAAATCCGTCTACGGGAAGTCTGCCTGTCCGCGTTCATGTGAACACTATAACTCAACAACTTAAATAGTTAGATGACAAAATTTGGTACACAGATTTATCATCAGGAAAGTAGATCCGCATAAAATTTTAGGTCAAACACGTCAAAGGGTTGACTGTCTGTCCGTATAATAGCATACTTCTGAACGCCATAACTCCCAAATAAAACTACTTAGATAAATGAAATTTGGTATGTGATCTTCTAACCCTAATGGTAGATCTGTGTCCAATTTTCATTTCAATCGGTTAAAAAAGGGCGTTCAAATTGCATATAAGATTTTTTTTAACTAACAAGGCCAAATTGTGTATTGGCGCTACTCGTGACCGTGGAAATCGCGATACTTCTAATACCCTCCTTTCGACTTACGCGCACGCCATAAAAAACTTTTGGATAGTCGTTGCATTCTGGGTTACAGAAGATTCGCAATTTTTTCTCCACCGTGTTAGGGACGCTTGTTCGTTTTACTACCTTTTAGCTAATTTTTTCTCCACATGTGTTGGGAGTATACGAGAAAATTTAGGGGAGACCACTCCCTCTGGTTTAAACAGAAATAAATAAGAAAAATTCCGAAAACGCCCTTAAAACAGCGCGATTTTTGTCTCCCAGGTCAGAGTTTTCTTGCTTATTTTGCGACTACACCACTAGCCACATCCATCTTTAAGTTGACTGCCAGTCGGTATGTCACGCGTGAGTGAACGCGATAACTCTAAAATGAAGTGAGCTAGATAAATAAATTTGGTATGGTGTTATGAGGGGCCGCGGTGTCCTAGTGGTAAGGTCTCGTCTTCGGGGTCGGAGAATTCCAGGTTCCAAACCCAATCCGCCGTGTATGTGGTCCATGTTGCACTTGAAATCAGACATACTGTTTGTCCGCGACGAGATCTCTCCCCACCAAGTTGTGTGGATGGTGGCGGTTACCGTACGGGGAATCCATTTCGAGTAGGTAGAAGTTCATTCAAGTTTGTTACATCAGCGCACTTAAGCGCAAATGAAAAGGAAAACGCAGAAGACGAATGATCATCTAGTCTGTTCCTGCCGCCAACTGGCGTCAAGAATAAAATAAAACCCAGACTTCCGTCGGATTCCTCCTCTTCGAAATGGATATTCCCTAACATAACTAGTTGCTGTAGCGGCCGCCACCAACCAGACAACTTGGCGGGCAGAGTGCTCGTCGCGGACAGAGAGCAGTAGGTCGAAAGTTCACCCGCTGGTCTGGTGCGGAAGTTTGAAGAGGGGGCAGCTCAGGTGTCGTCTTCGTTATCTATCTGACCGTTGCTCAAAATTACAAGGTCCCTCCCAAAATAGCCCTCGTGTTGCTTCAAAACGGGATGTTAATATAACTAAACTAATATGGTTTCGACGACCAAATTGTAGACCTGTGTCGGACTTACCAATCAATTAAAGGGAAGAGAAACAAAATGACTGATTTTTTTTCGCTTTTATGAAGTGAAAAAAATCAATCATTTTGTTTACACGTTCAAGTTTCGTGGAGAACACTCTCTCTGGTATTTTTAGTGTTCCCATCTTTTGCTGATTTAAAAACCACGTGTTTCCCTTCTAACGTCACCTTTGCCATAAACAATAGGAATTTCATACCAAGTGAAACAAAAACACAGGAAACGGGCTTTAAAGACTCGGTAAAAATATCTCTCCGAATTCACTGTCGTTTAAGATTATTGCATTTTCACTCGAAAAACGTCAATGATGACTAAATAGCCGGGCTATAAACTGACATTTTTTTTTATCTCTGATTTCTGTCATAGGTAATTTAGTGAGTGGAGGTCATTTTTTTAACTGCGCGTGGAGGAGATAAGGCATTCCTTTTATTTTATTTTTGGAGTCTTATTGATTACTTTTTACTTTCTCGTATACGAAGTATGCAAAGAGAAAGTAATGTAATCTTTGAAAAATTCGAACTCAAGATTTTGACGAATCTCCACGTTTTAGACCTCCCCGAGTCCGAAAAACACAATTTTGTAATTATGTCCGTCTGTGAACACGATAACTCGAAAACTATTAGAGCTACGGAGATGGAATTTGGTATGTGATCTTTACACGTAATTTGTATGTTTCTGTCAAAATTTGGACAAAATCCATCGAAGGAAGTCTGTTTGTCTGTCCGCGTTCATGTGAACTCTATAACTCAAAAAGTTAAATAGCTAGATGGATAAAATTTGGTGCACAGTTTTGTCATCAGAAATATAGGTCCGTATAAAATTTTGGGCCAAATCCGTCAATGGGTTGACCGTCTGTCGGTCTGTATAAATGCATACTTTTGAACGCCATAACTTCCTAACAAAATTACTTAGATAAATGAAATTTTGTATGTGGCCTTCTAACCTTAATTGTAGATTTCTGTCCAATTTTTGTGTCAATCGGTTTAAAAAAAGGCGTTCGAATTGCATTTTCGCTGTCTTTAGCATTATACAACGCAAAAAAGGCACGACCGATACGTTCTGTTTTTAATTCTACTTCCGCCTTGCACGTCAAACCATGAAACTAGTGGTATGACGTTTCGCTTATTTTTTCTCCACTGCGTGAGGGACGCTTGTTCGTTTTACCGCCTTTTAGCTTATTTTTTCTCTACATGTGTTCGGGAGTATACGAGAAAGTTTAGAGACCACTCCCGCTGGTTTAGCTTTTTATTGTCTCTCGATAAGAAATGAAATTTCTCTTCCTGACATCATTTATGGACAGCCCTCAAGGGGGAAGGGCGTCAAAATAATTTCGCACAGGGCGCC